TCTTAGTGTATTCGCCAGTTACATTTACATTTACTTATTTTCTCTTTTCTACTTTCTCGTTTTTCTGCTATTTTCCTCCTTATTCATATTTTTCTCATCTTATTTAGACCATCCTTTCTTTCCATTTGAATTTTCCCATTTCCTACAATATATACAAAGTACAATTTTTATTATTTTTCTTCTCCTGCTATTTTTCTCTTCCACAAGATTTCTCTCATCCTTTTCATGTTGTTCACTCCTTCCAGTTGACTCATATTTTATAGTTTTCATAGTTTTTCATTATTTCTCAATAGTTTTTCCATAATTTGTTTCTGTCAAGGAAGGAAAGCTATGGGCTCATATTTGAACCTATAACTTTATCGCAAAATACTAAATTAAAAGGAACAGTTTTACAAATGTGAATAAGAAACTAAAATCCGTTATACTTGAGAATAGCTGGACATGGGATCAATCGAAATATTCTAAATACATATCAAAAAATAAAGACGTGAAAATCTTGAATTCGTGTTTGAACTACAATCATCTTACTGAATGTTTTGCATTTTACCGATCGCTTATGAAATTGTATTATGAATTATTGAATTAAATACTTACTCATTAGTCAAACTACACAATTACATATCTGAAATGAAAGGGTTCTGTATTTTTGAAGGTAACTGCGTGCCGTTTATTAAATCGAACGAATCTTCATGGAAAGAATTCTACGCGGTCTACACTACTCTTGGAAATTGAAAGTAATCTTTCCTACACGCCAGGAGACCACGTTGGGGTGTTTCCAGCCAACAGATCTGAAATCGTTGATAGAGTTCTTCAGCGATTAAAAGGAATAGACGATATTGATCAACCGATAGTATTGCAAATCATGAAAGAAAATCACACTTCCAATGGTAAACCATTACATCCACTTGTTCTACTGTATAATGTATGAGATCAAATTTTCCATTCCAGGAATAGTAAAAACATGGGAACCACATGACAGATTGCCCGCTTGTTCAGTCAAAGAATTATTTACAAGGTTCCTTGATATTACTACTCCTCCATCACCAAATCTACTGCAATATTTCGCATCAATTGCAACCAACGAGGACGATCGAAGAAGACTTACGCTTTTGGCCACAGTAACTTTTTCCGAGAAATATTTTAGAGTCGTAATTAAAAACTTTATTTTAAGGAATCAACCGCGTATGAAGATTGGCGACATTGGCGGTTTCCTAATTTATGGGAGGTGTTAGAGGAGTTTCCATCCGTTGAACCCTACGCGCCTCTTCTTGTAGCTCAATTGAGTATATTGCAACCAAGATTTTATTCAATTTCGTCAAGTCCGTCTTTACACAGAAATATGATTCATCTTACAGTAGCTGTTGTGATCTATAGAACGCAAGGTAAACTACTATGAATTTAAAAGTCACTGGTGCAGATAAATAATTTTTAAATTTCCTAAAGTAATAATAAAGGATATTCACTAATAAAGTTACAATAATTGTTTCCCCAAAACGTTAACACAGGTCGTCTTTAATGAATATATTAGTGTATTATTTTCGTAACGAGATATTATAATTTTTTGTCATGTTAGCGCGGAAAGCTCTTTTTGCGTGCTATGAAATAGGGAAGAAATGGCCTCCTTTCAGCCGTGCTTTAATCGAGAGGTAATGAAATTAGTCTTTTGAGCGCATGCGCTGAAGTTTATGGGCATGCGCACAAATCAGTTGTTCAATGACAATGTCTTTCTAACCTCTAAATCATTTACTCTTATTTCGCCAACTATCAATTTAATGACGAGCTTTCCGCATAAACATGACAAAAAATAGTATACGTACCTCGGGAAGAAACAGGGTTGTCTCAGACTCTTAACATGCAGTCTGAAATAACCCTGTTTCTTCCCTCGATACGCAATGTACTATTCAGTCCGCCATATAAAATCCTTCCAATAGATACAAAACTCTTCTTATAGATGGAGATGGTCCAATTCATTATGGAGTTTGTTCAAATTATCTTCTAAACGTTCCAATTAAAGATAGCGTACATATTTTCGTTAGAAGGTTCGTTAATTGTACATCATATAGAATTTGTGTTGTGTTTTAGTTATAAATTTGTAAACCGTAGTGCACCAAATTTTCATCTACCTGCCGATCCTACGAAGCCAATCGTCATGGTTGGTCCAGGTACTGGAATTGCCCCATTCAGGTCATTTTGGCAAGAACGACTTGCGCAGGTTATTAAAAAAATTAATGCTGGAAGGATGTGGCTGTTTTTTGGATGTAGGCAAAGAGAACTGGATCTTTACAGGAATGAGAAAGAGGAAATGTTGAAAAAACGGGTGCTCGAAAGAGTATTTCTAGCTTTATCGAGAGAGCCAAATCTCAAAAAGGTTAGACTTGAATTTGATAATTGCTCCGGTAAATTGTGCAATAAGTTGAGAAAATGGCAAATTATAGGTAATACACGTAAAGTAGATCTTGAGTAGTTTTATATCACATTCTCACGAATGCAAGGGAGAATAGTGTCGCTCCAACTGAGGGCGACATCTACATGCCACATAAGGCTATGCGCGCACTACAACTAAATTGTTCCACGATAATTTAGTCGGTGTGAGTAGGTTGCGGGTGCGTTAGCAAACTAAACTGTTTTGGTTCCTTTAAAAGAGAAATAATCTGCATTTTAGAAAATGTTAAAAAAAGGATTTAGTAGAGACGAAAAGAATAGAAGATACTGGACTCATCCAATAACAAGCCAACGGCTAATACGAAGTCAGTTTAATCAGCTATATCATGATGTGCGTACATATCTTAGAAAGCTTTTAACTTCTACAGAATGAATGTGGTACCTGGAGCCCAGAGCAGCCGCTCCGGTCGCCCCCCCCCCCTTAAGCCGGAACTGGGTATTCGGATGTCATTTGGGTATCCGCGTTGTAATTTGCCATTTTCTCAACTAGTATTTTATGTAACACCTATCTAAGAAATACACTTTGAGAAAAATTGATACTTGCAATTTGACACTTTTTTTAACTATATTATACGAGGATGGATTGATAAGTTTCCGGCCTAACCAAGAGATGACGCCACTAGGCCTACCTTGAGGTGACATTCTATAGTACCATCCTTGGATAGCTTGTAGCTATAGTTTCAGCCCGATCTCCTTGCTAGTGTAGGTTTGACAGCACG